ATATATATATATATATATATATATATATATATATATACAATTATTATATAAACAACAAAAAAGGAAGATATTATGTAGTGAGCACAGATTGCAACTGTTATCAACAAACATATTTTAATGTATATAGCTTATTACTAACTATAGTTATAAACTATAGCCGATTATAGAAGTATGAGAGAACAATATATGGATATATGCATACGTCTTTTCTTGCTAACATGATATCCCTGTTATTAAATTTTTTGTTCACGAATGTTTTGTGCGATGTTCAGTATTGAAGTGATGGAAACTTCATAGGTACAGAACGTTTAATACTTAATTCTTTGTTCATCTTTCTCAAAAATTATTATAGAGAGCATGCGCGAGAAAAGTTTTTCTCTGAGTAGGAGGTAACGTCGATTCATGAAAGAGAAGCAGACATCAGTCGCTAGATAACATTCAATATGGAAACTTCAAAATATAATGGATATCGAGGTGTTTATTTTCTTGATTATATAAATGACTGTAATTGAGAAAGTGTCAATAGAAATATTTTCATTATAATTTGTGCGACTAATAATAACCTTAAAAAACTTTAAATTATTGCATTTTATGATACTATTTGTTATTTTATTAAAATATTAATTACATTTAATTTGAAATTTTGAGTGATTTTTATTTACTATTTTTTCAACTTACGTGATTATTAAAAAGTGATTATTATAATTAGATCTGTGATTATTGAAAAGTGAAGTGTTTCTAAACATTGTATTTTGCATTCAATTAAATATAATTAATATTATATTTACATATTTAACTATGGCTTTACTTAAGCATGTTTTAAAAATAATGCAGGTGATCTTTTTAATAAATTTTGAATTTATTAAGATTTCTGCAGGTAGATTTCGAATGGGCGGTAAAACTAAATCGTTTCTCTTTAAATTTGATTGGACTTTGGCCTAAAACTGCACAAAATTTTCGACAGCAATTAATGAGCAATTTTCGAGTGCTTGTCGTATTTTTGAGTATAACATTGGGCCTCCTTATTCCTTCTATACATTCCTTAACAAGAATTTTTGGAGACATTATATTAATGCTAGATAATCTACAATTTACTCTACCAGCCATAAGTTGCTCGATAAGAATCATAATTTTCTGGTGGAAAAAAGAAGGTATACTAATTTTGCTATTTATCTAAATTATTAAATACAGTAAACAATATGTAATTTAAATATTATGTCATAATTAATATTTAATATTTACAAGTCTCTAAAATAACTAAAAATTTTTTAAACAAGTAAGATTATAATTATAAGATTATACATATACATATCTATTTTTATATAAAGAGAATGACCTATATTAATACACATTCTAAAATTTTTTAAATTATAAGCACTCTATGCATTTTTTCTTATTAAAAATATTTGCACATAAATTATTTCATAACATAACATTTTTTCAAAATCTAATTCCATTATTACGTATATAAAAATGTTGGACAGTTATAAAAAAATTCGTATGTGTTTGTATACAGAC